ACGGGTGTCGCTCCCCACGGGTGTCGCTCCCACACGGGTGTCGCTTCCACAGGTGTCACTCCCCACGGGCTTTGCTCCCACACTGTGGCTCCCACGTGGGTGTCACTCCCACACGGGTGTTGCTCCCCACAGGTATCGCTCCCACACAGGTGTCGCTCCCACACGGGTGTCGCTCCCACACGGTGTCTCCCACACGGGTGTCGCTCCCCATGGGTGTCGCTCCCACATGGGTGTCACTCCCACGTGTGGTGGCACTCCCATATGGGTGGCTCCCACACGGTGGCTCCCACACGGTGGCACTCTCCATGGTGTCGAGTCTCCAGGGGCTGTTTCCGGAGGAGGCCTCCAGGTCTTTATTCAGAGGCACCGCTGGGTGGTCTCCAGCCCCCACCCCTCGGGTTCGCTGCCAAGCGTGTGAACCATCGTGTCACCCAGGGACTCAGCTACGGGAGCAAAAACTACCAAACCACCTGCTGTGGAGCACAGGGCTCCCCACGTGTGTCTGCAGAACTGGACTTCGTGGAAGGAGGGGGCCAGGCCTGCCTTCTGAGGGGCCTCTGGGTGGGCTCGGCCTGCAGTCTTTGGGTGAACAGCGACGACATTGACTATGTGCTCCGGTGGGGGGATGCTGTGTGTGTGTGTCAGCCGCAGTCCACGAGCTGAGGTCCAGCCACACCACCTCCACGTCCCCCCCCTCCCTTCACCGCCACCTTCGTCCAGGGGTGACCGTCTGGCCTCACGGAGGTCCACCAAGCCACCCCCCGGGCGCTGGCGTGGGACCTGCCACCTGGGCCGGCTCAGCTCCGAGGGCGCAGCTGTGGGGCTCTGCGCCCAGCCACATTTGCATCTCAATCTCCGTGATTAATATTTAAGGGGGCAGCTGTCTGAGCCCAGGGCCGGGAGAGGGGCTGCCTTGTTCCTCTGCAGAGTGAGCGCTCCACGGACAGTCGTCTCCCCACGGCTCACATGCCACGATTCTTCTGGAGGAAGAAATGGTGACGCCGCGAGGGCCTCCTCAGGGTCCGCTGTGTCCCGTCAAAGCCCCACTGTCCTATTGTGGCTCCACACAGCTGTGGGGCTGGGGCCAGCCCTCTGGCTGTCCTTTTCTCTGTCCAGGCGCCTGCTCCACGGCCCCCCACTAACCAAAAGGGGAAATTTGGGGGACACGCGCCACCCTTGGGGAATGACAGCTTCAGCCAGTGCCTCACCCCTACCCCGTCACGGGTCTCCTGGCCCCTCAACCACACACACCGGCCACAGTTTCTGACAGCGTCCACCAGGTCAGACTCCCAAGCCACCTCCCAGCCTCCACCAGCCCCCCGCTGTGGCATGGGGGCACCGTTGTTCCCAGGTCTCAGCACACGACCCCTCAGAAAGGCCACCCCATCGCCGCCTGTGCCTCAGTCCAGTGGTTCTCTGCTTGTGTGACGGGACCTGCTGTTCCCACCACCCCTGTCCTTCATTGGTGTGTCGGCTCCACCAGGGAGGGTCTGTGGGTCCTCCTGTCCCCAGAGATACCTGTTGGGGTGAGGTGGGTGGTGTCCCCCAAAATCCCAAGCCACCTGGGGCCTCAGAATGCGGCCCATTTGGAAGCAGGTTTTCCCACTCTTCAAGTCTGCTTGGCATCTGTTCCTGTACGAAAGGTCTACTTAAGCGCCTGTCTTGCTAACGGAAAGAAACCCAAAGAGGATTTTCACTTTTACGAGAAAAGGTGAAAAGCAAAGCTAGCGTTCAGCATTTGTCTTGCAGCGAAGTCGTTAAAGGCTCGGCTCGCGCCCAAGCCTCAAGAGTGGCCCCGCCAAGCTCCTTCCCCGGGGGCCGCCCTGCACGTGCGCGATGTCTACTTTGTACAGGCCGTGTGGCTATGCTGTTCCTGCCTTTACCAAACCCAAGGAGGGGCCGCTATGAGCCGGATCCGGCTCCATGGCAGTGAGTTTGGTTTGGTTTTGGTTAGTGTTATTTTAAGGCTCCCTGGTGGCATGGTGCCTAAGGCATTTGACTGTTAACCAGAAGGTTGGCCCGGTTCAAACCCACCAACCGCTCTGCGGAAGGAAGATGGGGCTCTCTCCTTCCGTAAGGATTTGCTGCCTCGGGAACTCGTTGGGGGCTGTTGTGAGTCAGAATCAACTCTACAGCGGCAGGTTCTGGTTTAGTGTTATTTCGGGTTTTCCGTGTTACTCGGTATGATCTGCTGGGTTATTTTTTGGGCCTTGCAGCGCTGACATTTTTCCCGTATGAAAGGCTGGTAGTTTCTTCACTTACTGCCCTATACCGCTTCAGCTTACAAAAGCTTTTATAGGAACTTGTGGATAGCAAGGGAAGCCTGTAGTCAGTTACAAGGACATGGGGGCCATGGGCACAAACGGAGTCCTCATCCCACCTGACAGTGTCCTTACGAGGAGAGGAGAAGAGACACGAAGGGGGTGTCACATGGTGATGGAGGCAGGGGTCGGGGTGGTCCAGCCGCCAGTCCAGCCACATCTGGGTCCCCAGAAGCTGGCGGAGGTGAGGACCAAGGGTGCTGGCTGTTCAGGTAGCAGACACCATTGCCCATGCTGGCGTTTGCCCCAGTGGGACTAGGCCACACAGACGGCAGGTGGGACCAGTGAGGGCATGACACCCAGAGAAGGAAGCTTTGACTTCAGTGTTGGGAGGCTG